CAAAGTAGTGACCCAAGAAAGTAAAGGAGGATTAGAGGCAAAGTGAACCCCCTACTCCCACCTCCCTCCTCCAAAGAGTGAAGAGGGGAAAGCGGGGGTCCACAATGATGATCCTTCGAAAGTGAATGGAGAAGAATGCCAGAACTGCATATCCAGGAAAAGAGGAAAGGAGAGAGGATGGCCAGAGTGGCTACCATTGCAGATTGAAGAGAAAAGAGGGCTCAGAGTAGTGAGCCCAGGGAGTGAAGAAGAGGGGAGCGGAGCAGAGTATGGAACGTAAGACGAGGGAGCGCTAGTATTTCGTGGAAATAATTGCACAATATTGTGTATTAGAGCATGAAAGGTGATATAGAGTATTGCAAAGCGGTCGAAAATGAAAAGCCCCGACGGATTTACGGTGAGGGTAAACTTCCTAAAGCTGCTTGTATAAGGCTGATGTAAGTTGGGAGTTGTTGAGAGTTAGAAATGTGCTGAAGAGGACTGCATTTCAGATATAAGAACGTGTATGTTAATAGAGAACGGCTGATTGCATTGCTGAATCCGTGAACCACTGCGGACGACCTAATTACACTGACAGATGCAGGCACTTTAGGGAAGATTTGTGCTATTGCCTTGAAACCAAAGTGCCTGGCCCGTCGCGCGAAGCAAGCGGGAAAAAAACGAGAGAAGAAGCCGAAGGACGTGCTTGAAGTAGATTTGGAGCTTTCGTCGGACGACGAAGAAGACAAGCTGTCTAAGCCGCGAGATGAGACACTAGCCAAAAAGAAGAAGTACAATCAGTAAACGAAATAATGTATTTGATGTTGTTGATTCATTAAAGTAATAACAACTGTTCTTAGTAGGAACGTATCCGATGCATTGTTGATGCAATTAAAGCAATAAAAACTGTTATTAATATGTATGCGAAGTATTGTTGATACCATTGGAGCAATAAAAACAATAATTTCAAAAAAAAGTGTAAGAACAATAAACAAGCAGCGAGAAAGCAGCGATAAAGTAAAAGGTAAACCTAGAGGCAGTAGCATGAGGCAGAAAAT